GTATAATAAAATATTTATTTTTCAATACAAGTTGCTAATCAAGCAACCAATGACGACCAAATATATACAACAAAATATGCTACCTTAAGGCAGCCTACAAAAAAATCTATCTCCAGGTACCTCCTGTGGTCTCTAGCAGCTAACTCCAGTCTATCCCTACCCTACTCCCATACAACGTATGATCATCGCAGTCCAAACCACATAGAAACATGCAAGGGTAAGCTAGAGACAATAAACAACTCATAATAATTTAATCTGAAACATAACAACTATAATCATCTTCAAATCTGACACAAAAGATAAACAACACATATATATATACATCTTAACATCATTTCAACTTAATTCCACATATCAACGCTGTATCAACACCTCTCAACAAATACATGTTTAAAACAACTTACAATACAACATAACAACATTATCATCATCCTCAACAGGATCAACATACAACACAATTACAACATACAACACAATCACAGATTAACAACATAACAACATAGATACAACTTTTATCAACAACAAATCCACTCATCAACAACTTATGCATCGTCACGCATTTCAACTCGGAGATCTCCAACAATTGAAGTTGAGCAGTCTAGGTGGCATAAACCCTACCGAATCCAACGTTTGACCTATCTCAACCAGGTCAGGTATAGTACAACGTTAGGAACTCCGAAGAGAACCAGGTATAAACAACAATAGGCGATTGCTCAAGTGTGCCACTTAGACTCGGAGGTCCAGTACTACTATCAGGACAGAAGGGTTTGGGTATGAGCCTACCACGGCCTTGGCTAGCATCACCAATCCACATATGGAGTTAGCCCACCCACTGTCTTCCAAGTACCATGCACCCTCCAGTACCTAGTCAAAGACTACATCTGTAACTAGATACCTTACTCAAATTGGTCATTCAACCATGACATGGATCGACTATTTCCATGTCGCCCACACAGTACTAAGGGATTCAACTTTAAAACAACTTTCAACTTATCACCTTAGTACTATGTATCTCAACATCTGGCCGCTTGTAATCGGTATAGCTCGGCTTGACCCCTATACCGTGGTCGCTTTATACACATGTGCCTCGACCTTGCCTACACACGGGATCAACTAAGTCCTAGAGGAGAACAACACAACGTCCACTCCAAGGGACAACTTCCCAAGGAGGGTTTTCAACAAATTGGGCTCTCCGAGCATCACAACTATCTCAATCCGCACAATGGGATGAGCAATTTCGAAAACATCTCCTCTAGCCTTAGTGATCAACAACTTATAATCACAACTTAATCAACTTAACAACTTAAACAACATACAACTTTTCAACTCGGCATCTAAATCAACATTCTACTTGTACAATATAGTTTATCAGCGCAACGACTCATCTCAAATTGTTTAACAACACATATTAACAACACAACATCTCATTTCAACTTTAAACAACACAATCAACTCAACAACTTATTAGCTCAACTTATAATTTACAACTTAATCATCATAAAAAAATGTATTTTCAACACATGGTACAACATACAACTTTTTAGCAACATACAACTTTCCTCTAACAACTTAACAATATTGTCATCATGCACTTCATAACATATACATGTCCACACATAACATATAGTAACTTTATCAACTTAATTTCAACTAACTTCAACTATATCATAGATCAACACACAACTTGTAAACAACTTCACAACTTAACTACAACATGCATCTCCAACAACATCATTAATAAATATTTAATCATATATTAGCAACACATAATATTTTCATCACATAATACAACTCATACTAATCAACCTAAGTACCCAAATGAGTTCCCAACTCACATACAACCAACAACTTTACCATCTAGCTTCCCTTACTTGAAGATTGGCTCAGAATAGCCAAGAAGCAAAATTCCCTTTTCCGAAGCTCAACCCGGAACTTCAATCCACCCAAAGCAAGCTTCCTTGTCCAGAGTCCTTCTCTCTAAAACCTCTCTCTAAAAACCTCCATTCCTCTTCCACCCTCCAACTCTATTTATAGACATTCAGGAGTGGCCAAAACGGCCTGTTTCGAATCCGAAACGGCCCGTTCTGCACCCCTTCATCATGGGCAAAATTCACATGCAGAACGGCCCGTTCTCCATCCAAAACGGCCCGTTCTCAACTACAACTTACAGGTCAATTTAATAGCTTGGAAAGGCCCGTTCTGAGCTACTGAATCACCCATATTGGGCTTTTGGGCCTAAACTTGCTACGTCACAATTATACTTGTGGAAGATCACATACTGTCATCATCAAGGTTATTTCAAACACTGTCCTTGTATGAAATCAGTGATAAATCACTTAGTAATTACTTTTTAGGTGTCATATCTTTTATTGTTGTGGTTGTAAAATAGACACCGTATTTTTAATTGTTATAAGTATTCTTTGGCCTATTATATTTGTATATAGATTAGAGTATCTTTTGTACTTCTTTTTAATAAATCTCTTTTACTTGTGTATTAAGAATATCTCTCTTAACTTTTTTTCTAATAAAAATTCAAAATTCAATTTCAAAATCTTGAAATTTAAGAATCAAATCAACCAACTTTACATTGTATTTAATATCCACTATGGCTGTCTCCTCGAAAAATGGAAGTAGCCGTAGGCTTCTTAGTTTCTCATTTGTGAACCTCTTCTCAGTTTTCTTCTCCATTCTAAACGGTAATTGAATTTTTTTTATTATCTTTTTTTTTCAAAGAGACATATTTAAAAATTATAAAAATATGATTATTGATTATTTTTAAAAATGATCTTTTCATATTTCAAAATTTATTATGAACGTGTGTTTTTAATATAATATTCACCATTGAAATAGAAAGGGACAAATGATAACCGATAACATGCCCGCATTTCTGAATTGATGACATATATATAGGATAAGGTACATATAGTATGTAGATAAAACAAAATTGATAAAATAAAATGAATGTTGTTATATGGCTACGACTAGAGCTGTCAAAACGGGCTAACTCGGCCTATGTGGGCCGGCCCACCTTGACCCACTTTAAAAACGAGCCAACCCAACCCAGCCCACTTATAATTTTTTCAAAAAAAATTTGGCCCGGCCCGGCCCACCACGGGTTGGTGGGTTATACGGGCCAGCCCACCAGCCCACCAAAAATTTTAAAAAAATTATTAACAAAATTCAAAATTTTAAATTAATTATAAATTAACATAATAGTCATAAAATTAACATCATTAATAGTTATAAGTCATAATTCATCATACAAAATTAAATACAAATCATGATAAAAGTTTAAAATAAAAATTTTCAATATATCATCATACAAAATAAACTACAAATCATATTCAAATTTTTATTGAAAAAAAAAATGGTGGGTTGGTGGGCCACCCGGCCCACCACGGGTTTAGCCCGGGTGGGCCGGGTCAAAGTGGGCCGGGTTGAATAGAGCTGTCAAAACGGGCCAACCCGGCCCATGTGGGCCGGCCCACCTTGACCCACTTTAAAAACGAGCCAACCCAACCCGGCCCACTTGTAATTTTTTCAAAAAAAATTTGGCCCGGCCCGGCCCACCACGGGTTGGTGGGTTATACGGGCCAGCCCACCAGCCCACCAAAAATTAAAAAAAAATTATTAACAAAATTCAAAATTTTAAATTAATTATAAATTAACATAATAGTCATAAAATTAACATCATTAATAGTTATAAGTCATAATTCATCATACAAAATTAAATACAAATCATGATAAAAGTTTAAAATAAAAATTTTCAATATATCATCATACAAAATAAACTACAAATCATATTCAAATTTTTATTGAAAAAAAAATGGTGGGTTGGTGGGCCACCCGGCCCACCACGGGTTTAGCCCGGGTGGGCCGGGTCAAAGTGGGCCGGGTTGAAATATACCCACCTACTATAAAACTTCAATTTTTTTTGGCCCGGCCCGGCCCGTTTTCAAGGTGGGCCGGGTTGGCCCACGGGTCCCAGCCCACTTTGACAGCCCTAGCTACGACACGCCACGCAGGTAGCACGTCAAAGCCAGACGGCAAACACGATGGTGGGTCCCTCACACCCCACGCAAGAAAATCCTAAACACAACTCACAAGTGCCACCAATTTCTCTTAATTATGCTTCTTTTACTTAAACTTAACTAAATTTAATCTATGAATAAACTTATTTTTTATTTACTTTATTTAAAAATATCAAGAATTTTATCAGACTTGATAGTTAAATGAAGTTTTTGATAAATAAAAATGATAGAAAGAAGATAATACTCACAATTACTAAACATGTCAATGATTCTTATGTTATCACTTTTTTATTATGGATAATTAAAATCATTTGACTTGAGTTTTATTTGTAAAATTGAGAACTAGTAAAGATCTATTAAAAAACTTAATTTTTTTGATGATTTTTATATTATCACTTTTTTTTGGGTAATCAAAATCATAATTAACATCTGATTTGACTTGAGTTTTATTTGTAAAATTGAAGACTAATAATGATCTATTAATTTTTTTTATAGAATATATCCGTCAAGTAAAATTTTAATAATATTAAAAATGTTAAATCTACTTATAAGAAAAGTAAATTTCTATCAAATATTTAAGTATTTGTATAAACTAACATGATATTTAACATGTAATTTTTTTTAATTTAGTAAAATTTATAATGTTAGTTCAATTGTTAAATATTATATATTAATCAATAAAATTGTAATATTAATTATGAATTGGTATCGAATAAATAATTCAAAAATTAATATTTAATAAATTTTTTAATTAAATTACAGTTAAACCTTATTTTTATATCATTTTCATATATATGTTTATCTCTTTTACGAGGTTAAAATCGAAACTAAACATGACAAAAGTAGTAATTTAACTTGAAATTAATCAACAGTTAAGATCTGATCCATGTTTTTTTAAGGAAAGGTTTAGGTGAATTAGGAACTCAAGTTATGGTAAGATATGCATCCACATCGGTGGCATCCAGTATCTTTAAAACTGGAGAGAGTCTCTTTTCCGCACACACACTGTTCCAGTTCAAACCGTGGAAGCAAAGGTAGACTCAGATGTCTGTATCCCTTTTGCTTCACTCACACCGATCCAATCCAATCCAATCTTCAATCTTTCTCTCTCTATAAAGAGAACTCACACACTCCCCAGATTCACACCCTTCTTAACTCTCCTTCTCTCTTTCTCCGCTTCAATCAAACATTCCCGTGAGTATTGTTTTACCACAGACCCCTTTTATATTCTCAATGATTGCCTTTGTAGTTTTCTTAAGCTTGATTCTGTATTGGATGATAACTGTTTCATATTCTGGTACTTATTATTATTATTATTATTCTAGGTGGCATGGGTGCAGCTACCTGCAATAATTACTGTTCATTTCTTTGGTGTTTTGGACAATATCTGAATTCACAACATGTCATAAATGAATAATACTAATAATTGCATTCAAATGCTTTTAAAAACCTTAAATTTGAGCTCAGTGCTTGCTTCTTCCTACCGCAATTTACTAAATTCTCATTTTATTGTTTCGTGTTCTCTGTGATATTTTAATCTAATTCTTTTAGAACTTTTCGTTTGAAGTTGACTTTAACTGTTCCATCCAATTATTGAAATGCCATTTCTTTCTTTATTATTATTTTTTCTCTCTTTAACCGGGACTTTAGATAAGTATTAGCATTTCTTTCGTTATTATTATTGTATCTCCCTTTAACTGGGATTTTAGAGAAGTCTTAGCGTTTATATTTATACACCGAAAAGAAAGAGAAGAAGGGGGAGAAAAGGGTCGGTTTTTTTTGTCTTATTGTAGGATTAAGCGGTGGTGAGTGATAACGCAATAATTGTTAGCTTGTTCATGTGTACTTTTTTGTCCACCTCTGATTACATGACATGTTGATTGTTTTGTTTTTAACTTCGGTTTTTTCCGTTTCTCCTATATAATCCTAGTATTCCTGTTAATTTTCATTACCTTGTGTTGTTTTCAGAGTGCAAATAGATTGAATGTTGTGAACAATGGGTTCATCCAAGGCCTCATGCAGTGTTTCTCTGCTCCAATTGTTCATAGTGGTTTGCCTTGTCTTCCAATGCTTTGCTAAAAACCATGCTGACCTGAGCACAACTCTAATTGTAAATGCTTCTGATGCGTCTGGAAAGCCTATACCAGAGACACTTTTTGGCATATTCTTTGAGGTAAGGATAAACTTGCATGTAGATGTAGCACTCATTTTTTGTTTACTTGCTTCACTTTCTTTCTAATGACTTTTTCTTCTGATACCTGATTATTATTTCTGGTGTAATATGAGAGTCTTCTTTTAAATGGATTTGGATAGAACATGTGCTATGCATGGGTTATTAAAGAAATAGTTATGAAGATAAAATATGAAATAATTGATTGTATCAATGTTATGCATGTAATGTATCATCCATTGTAATGAATGATTATGAGTGATTGAATAGACTGCATGTAACTTGGGATTATGCAAACGCAGATTTAGTTTGTATTCAATTTGATGATGCCTCACATCCAAATATCGGACAATGACCATTTTCTTGAATTTCATCTACAGGAGATCAATCATGCTGGAGCCGGGGGAATTTGGGCTGAGCTTGTGAGCAACAGAGGTCATTTTCATATTTTCCAAACTTTTAAATGACAAAACTGGCACTAGAAGGTTTCTCTGGGATATTCTTTTTTCTGCAATTTTTCATGCAACTTACATGTTCAGATGCTCAAGCAGAGTTCCAGCATTCTGTTGTACTTGATGGGAAACATGATAATAACTGAAAAATAAAATCAAAAGAAAAGAGAAAAACGTAGAATTCATGAGATAAAAGTAAGAAATTAAAGGTATATCCACCTTGATTAAAAGTAGATCATGATTTTAACCTGCTAAACTTTAAAAGAGAATGCATCCTTACTTTCTCACTTTAGAGGAGCTTTTTCCAAATTGAAAATACACACATGTAAGGACTTGTGCTTTTTCTTTCCTTAATTATGGGTGTCCATCAGAAAATTGATATCCTTTTCACTGTTATTCAAGTAATTTATAGTGTTTTCTTCTCAACAACCCGTGACAAGTGACAACTTTAGTCGCTTCACAGTCGTTTGTCTATTGAGTTCCTTTCTTCAAACATTTTAGTTTGGTGCCCTCATGCTTCTTATGTACCTTAATCTAATGTTTGATTAAAAGGAGAGGCCTGATGTGTCTTTTTATCATTTTCTTTGGGAGATTCTGCTTTAGATATGATGGATGATCTTACTTTATCAATGTTCAAATGTGAATGAATGGACGGTTTGCTGTTTACCTCGATGTTTTGTTATAGGTAGGTCTCTGTTTTTAAGGATAACTGAAATATTATGAATTATTGTTTTAGGATTTGAAGCTGGGGGCCCTAACACTCCTTCAAATATTGATCCTTGGTCAGTTATTGGAAATGGATCACTGATAAATGTTGAAACTGATCGTACCTCTTTCTTTGACCGTAATAAGGTTGCACTTCGATTGGAGGTGTTATGTGACAGCAAAGGTGACAACATCTGCCCAGCTGATGGTGTTGGTGTTTATAACCCTGGTTTCTGGGGCATGGTGAGACTAATACCCTTACATCAAATGAATTATAAATCCTATGTGCATATATTTCCTGAACAAAAAACAAAAGACAAAAATATGAATAACATAAATTTAGTTTAAATTGTTTGGTTATAAACTTTGTTATATCCTTCTGATTACTTTGATTGTTTGATTTAGATTTTTTTTTTTTTTATAGCTTTATGGCTGAGACCTACAATTAATATATTTACTACTTGGGTCTCTTTCAGAATATTGAGCAAGGGAAGAAATACAAAGTGGTCTTCTATGTTCGTTCAACTGAATCACTTAATCTAACAGTTTCATTGACTGGATCAAATGGTGTAGGAAATCTGGCTTCATCTGTGATTACGTGAGCTCCAATTTTATGTGCTATATTGACTTTATGTGTAGTAGTTTTGATCCCAAAAATTATCATTTGCATCTTTGAGTAATATTGATATTTGATCTTTCAGGGGTTCTGCACTTCATTTTTCTAACTGGACAAAGGTGGAGACTTTATTGGTTGCCAAAGAAACGAATCGTAACTCAAGACTTCAATTAACCACTACCACCAAAGGTGTGATATGGTTGGACCAAGTGTCTGCTATGCCACTGGACACATATAAGGTGTAATATGGTTGGACCAAGTGTCTGCTATGCCACTGAGCATTATCAAAATGATATTGGTTGAAATGATGTTTAAAAAGATTTATGTGAATTATTCTTTCCTTATAAAAAGACAGACATTCTTTAGACATAAAATATTTTAAAATGAAAATAGTTAATATTGAATCAGTTCCAATTATAAAATAATGCTTCATTTCCTCCACCCTTTCAGTAATATCTTCAACCTTGATGCAGGGACATGGTTTCCGCAGTGAACTTGTTGAAATGCTGGCAGATTTGAAACCAAAATTTATCAGATTTCCGGGTATGTATAAAGTGGTTAAGATTGATAAAATTTCAGACCTATAATTTGTTATAACGCACAAACACAAACACAAGTTTTATGTGTTGCTTTTGTCCTGTGTAATGTGCTCTTGTCTTGAATATTCAAAATGTGTATACTTAAATAAGGGTAATCAGGGTATGCTGAATTGGACAGTTGGGAATAAGAAAGGAAAGTTAAAAAAGAAAAAAAATTGTTTGAGTTATAATTGCTCATGAATATTTGGTAGAGAATGTACAAAATAAAGAGAAGAGAAGGGTAATCTATTTTAAACTACTCTACTTTTTTCCCCCTTTGTCAAAGTGTAAAATAATTTCATCCCAATATGAACTGGTTCATTTTGTTATAACTAGCAAAACCTTAGTGAGCTAGGTGAACCAAGAAATTATGGACTTATTTATATCTGAACTTAATATGTTGTTTGGTTTGAGAAATGTTTTCCGTTTCATTTTTATTTTTAATTCGAAAAATTCCACCTTATTTTCATCTTTTTTTTTATCCATTATTTCCAAGAATAATGAGAATTTCTCTTTATTGTTTTCACTGTTTTTTATGTAAACTTTTCAATATAGGAAATAAAATAAAAGCGAGATAACATTTTTGTAATTAAAAATGAAAACATAAAGCATTTTTTTTAACCAAATGAACCTTATGTTTTTCTGGTTTCTGTTGTACTTGCTTTTGGTTATGTTCTAGTTGTCACTTTAAAACTTGGCTCCACACTCCAAAATTACTAGAATCACGTGATAAGCTGTAAGCTTATTCCAAGTCTTAGTGAAATTATTTAAATCTTTTCTATGCTGTCTGGAATTCCGATTCATCATATTTCTCATGGTTATTTATTTATTAGGCTAATTGCACTTTTCGTCTCTATTTTTGTCAATCTACAATTTCAATCCCTCTATTTTAAAACAATGACATTTATCCCTCTAATTATGAAATTTTTGTCCTTCGTCAAATTAACATCTATTAATCATTATGTTTTAATGTTTATTCATAATTAAGTAATGTAACATTTAGAAATATGGCATTTATAGATAATTTTTTTAAAAAACATACAAATAAAATTTATTAATGTTTTTTTTTTTTGTTTTTTTTGTTTTTCATCTTTCAAAAATTTGTAAACATTAATTTTAGTCCTGTTGGGATACAAACAAGTCCCACATCGATAAAATAAGAGAAAAAATAACAACTTATAAAGCACACACATACTCCAATGTAAGAGAGACCTTTTGGGTGATGACCAAAAACAAAACCGTGAGGGCTTAGCCTAAAGTGGATAATATCTCATCATTGTGGAGTATGCTTGTGTAATAACCTTATAAAAATAACCCCCATAAAATAACCTCAACAAGTCCTTATAAAATGAGTAAATTTTGATTTTGATCACTGTAAAATATTTTTCTTTGAGTTTCATCCCTCTAATATCTAAAATAATTATATTGGTCCTTAATGATGATTTTAAGGTAGATAAATAACATTTATTTTAAGGACCTATAAATTTTTTTAGATGTACCACATGTTAACATAGTATCATTAACAATTGTCAATAACATATGATGTGGTCACTTAACCTTATAATAAAAAAGGTAAGTAGTTAAAAAATAATTAGTTAATTACATAATAATAAGGACTAAAAATAATATTTCTAAACTTTAGAGGATGAAAAACAAAGAAATTTTTTTATAGGGATCAAAATCAAAACTTACTTATTTTGTAGGGAGTAAAATCATATTTAAACCTAAAATAAATATCAATTATTCGTTGAAATATATACAAACAAATATTTTTTATGTTATTTTTAATTTTTATTCCTACTTGTCATGTCACTAAATATTACTTCACTTAAATAGTGATAGGTTTAAAGTGTGAAGTGTTAAGGGGAAAAGTTGTTAGATGTCATTAGAAGATAAACATTTTCTGAACTGGCATGCATAAGTGTGAAGTGCTCTCTGTCTTTTATAGAATAAAACAATTAAACCAGGCTCTATGACTATGAGAAGCGACAACAGGATACTGGGATAGGATACAGTATATAAAATAATTGTGACGCCAGTGAGGAATTTGAGCATCCAATTTGGCATGGAATTTCAGGAATGTAAATGTTGACAATATCATGTTCAATATTATGAATGGTAAAGTATTAAATGAACATATTCATTATGCTTCTTCACATTTAGATTGCATGGTTTTGATTTTTGCTTTGTAATGTATAAATTGTAGCTTATGTTTCATTGATTTTATTTTTAAAGAATCATTTCCTTGCTTTTCTTCTTCTTTCCTCTCTCTCTCTCTCTCTCTCTCTCTCTCTCTCTCTCTTTCTTTTAATTATAAAGCAGTTGATTGTGCTATAGCTTTTTGTATCTTGTTGGACCAAGGTGATCAAGGACGGAGCCAAGGGGGGACCTACGGGTGCCACGGCCCCCCCAACAATTTTAATTTTTTTTTATATACATATATATTACTATATGGCACCCCCTATATGGCACCCCCAGTATTGAAATCCTGGCTCCGTCCCTGAAGGTGATCTATGTATTTTTTACTTTTAGAATATATTATAATTTGAGTAAACATCATTTGACAATCTTGCATTCCATTTTACTCTTTAAGTTTGTAGATAACTAAACTAACATCTGGAAATGCTATTTTTCATTACATTGCATTAGGTGGTTGTTTTGTTGAAGGAGAATGGTTAAGAAATGCATTTCGATGGAAAGCAACTGTTGGACCATGGGAGGAGAGACCTGGGCACTTTGGTGATGTTTGGATGTACTGGACTGATGATGGACTTGGCTATTTTGAGTTTCTCCAAGTAAGTGTCTCTTTGCATATAATGTAGCCAAGGATTACGATGCTCATGTCATGTTAAATTCCTTTAATTTTGTGCTATGCTAGTGAAATGATACATATTCCTATTATTGTTGAGCAGCTAGCAGAGGACTTGGATGCTTTACCAATATGGGTATTTAATAATGGTAATTTTATGTTTATCTCTGTTAACTAATGCTTGTCTGGAATTGCTTTTTTAAAGGAAATATGACTATTTTTTTGAAAGCCCTCTCAAAAAGCTGACAACTACAAGCCATTCTTTCCTCAAAATAAGTTATACCAAACATCCACCAAGTTTCTTACTAACAACGTGAAATGAAAAAATTATCTTTGATTCCTAATTGAATATTTTATTTTAGGTGTCAGCCATAATGATCAAGTTGATACGTCAGCTGTCTTACCTTTTGTGCAAGTACGTTGCCACTGTTTTTTACCCCTTGCTCTCCACCCCCTTCTTATTTATTACTTTTTCCATTTTTGTTAAAACAAAGCTGTCTTAAAAATATATAAAATATCTTGAAATCTTGATTGTAGGAAGCCCTTGATGGAATTGAGTTTGCAAGAGGTGATCCCACTTCAAAATGGGGTTCCCTTAGAGCTGCTATGGGACACCCAGAGCCGTTTGACCTTAGATATGTTGCTGTTGGGAATGAAGATTGTGGAAAAAAGAACTATCGTGGTATGCTTATTTTTCTTATTTATTCTATCTTAGAAAAATGTGATATTTTTCTTACATGCGCTAACACTTTGGATTATTTATACCATGATGAGGCACAAAAGCTATTGTTGAGTTTATTATTAATATATTTTATGTGCTGATTCTAACGAACAGTTCTGGATTTCATATTCCCCGCTTCTAATTGAATCGTGTCATCTGATGCCACTTCTTTTTCTGTTAAATCTTTGATTTCCAGGAAATTACTTGGAATTCTACAAAGCAATAAGAAATGCTTATCCAGATATCCAAATTATCTCAAATTGTGATGGTTCCTCTCGACCTTTAGATCATCCAGCTGATATGTATGATTATCATGTAATGTCTTCAGACAATGTCTTTGATTACAAATCCCTTCACACACATAATATATATCCTCTTGTAGTATCTTTTCTTATACTCTGTTTCTATAATTAGGTTTATACAAATGCAAATGACATGTTTTCTAGAGCTAACGCATTTGATCGTACATCACGAGATGGTCCAAAGGTTTTTTGATCTCTATCAAACACCTCTGTTTTAATTAGTTATTGGTGTAGCAGTATGTATTCAATCTGTTTTGACACTTTACAGGCTTTTGTGAGTGAGTATGCTGTGACTGGAAAAGATGCGGGGACAGGAAGCCTTTTGGCTGCCCTAGCTGAAGCTGGATTCCTTATTGGACTGGAAAAGAACAGGTTTACCAGGACTTCTTATGAAATTTTCCTCAAGTATTTTATCTATGGCCAGGCTTGAAAATTTACACTTTTGCCCAAACCAAATATGCAAACCACATGGAAGAGATTTTTTTTTAAATTATATGGGCAAGTTACCCTTCTAATTGATCTTTTGGCAAGGCCATAAACAAGTCCAAACAAGCTACATATAAGCTTAAGCAACTCAAGTCAGTTGTTAGCATTGTTAAGCAAGCTTGACTTATCTGTTTAACAAGATTCACTTCAAGTTTTACAGTCACTTTTCTTTCAAATGAATTTTCTCTAGTGCCCTTACTGATTTGAGATTAGCAAGTAATTTTTCATATATGTTTTAGTTCATTTCCTTGAGGGTGACTCTTGGTTAAATGGTAAGGCAGCCTTGTGACACGGGTTTAAATCCTGCAAATGGTCTTTCTGTTTGCGAGAATAGGGATGCATAAATGATTCATCTACCCTCCCTAGATGCCACTGGGACTGGGGGGAAGTTGTGTGCCCTGAATGACCTTTTTTCATTTAATTCATATCCTTGTGTCTTCAAAGCTTTTATCTTATATTATTCCTTTAATCGCTGATGATGTACTTAGCATTTGTATCATACCCTAAATATAACATTTAATAGAAAGGTGGTCCAAGTGTCCTACAAGCCACAAAACATAAAGTTGAGATTGTTTGGATTTAGGAAGTTAGTTAGGAGATTTATTGAAGTTTGTTTGTTGAAGGGGTTAGTTAGTTAGAGGAGTTTTATAATATAGGAAGATGTAAGGGGAGGGGCATCCAGATTGTATCATTTGTAAATTGAGCTTGAGAACTTTGTTACAGAGAAATCCCTTGTAAAGAGTAAACCCTTGAAGGAAATACTTCATACCTCTCTTATTTATTTAGTTATTTTATTTTTTGCATTCGATTTAATAAAATCTTTCTTTTTCTTTTCTTGTCTTTTCCATTTCTATTATGGGTTCCCAGCATTATGAAATCTGAGTTTCTGATCTAGTTCCTTAATAGTTAGTACTCACCATCTTTTTCATTTTTTCTTTATGGTGCAGTGATGCTGTCGAAATGGTCAGCTATGCTCCACTTTTTGTTAATGCCAATGATAGGAGGTAAATTCTTATGATTTTACCAGGAAATTTCTATTATCTATTCTTCTTGTTTGCTTTTTGATCTAGCCTTATTGTGCACTATGTTCTTTTCTGAATTCTTAGCAGAAGTTTTATGAAAAGATTCCAGATATATAGAAAATAATTTGTTGATTTCTTTGAAGCATTGTTGTTGATAGGGTTATTTTATGGTATTTGTCTGAGAGGATATTTTATGAGTTATTTTTATAAGGTTATTACACAAACATACTCCACAATGATGAGATATTGTCCGCTTTGGGCCTTAGCCCTCACGGTTTTGCTTTTGGTCATCACCCAAAAGGCCTCTCAATCATTGAAGTATGTTTGTATTATATAATTGTTGTATTATATTTTATGAGTTATGAGGGGTTATAGGGTTATTGGTTGTCACCGAATCCAACCTACGGCTCTGATACCAGAGATAGGGTTATTTTATGGTATTTGTCTGAGAGGATATTTTATGAGTTATTTTTATAAGGTTATTACACAAACATACTCCACAATGATGAGATATTGTCCGCTTTGGGCCTTAGCCCTCACGGTTTTGCTTTTGGTCATCACCCAAAAGGTTTCTCAATCATTGAAGTATGTTTGTATTATATAAATTGTTATTTGTTGTATTATTTTATCGATGTGGGACTTGTTTGAATCCCAACAGTTGTGTTTGTGAAAATGGGGACTATAATGGTATACTCCAACCCAGTGTTTTGCAATTTCATTCAGATGACTGCTTTAGCCCCTTTCTTTCAAGACCAGCCTTCCATTAAGCCAGAAATATAATTGTAGCTTGATTTACCTCTCCTTGTAAATGGATAACTCTGTTACAGTACCTTTTAGCTATAGGATGACGAAGAGATCATTAACATTTATTGTTCAGCTAAACAATTGCATGAACAAAGAAATGTGACCTTTTTATTCCATACAAATTTATAAACAAATTTAGAAGAACAGTGCCTTCAGAGGTTTTCATTATTTTAAATTATCATTAGAAGAAAAATGTTTTTCTTCAAATGCTAAGGTGGTTAATAAATTATGTAGAATTGTTCTGGGTGATGGTAAAACTAAGATTGTGTCAATTTGTGTTGTTAGGTGGAACCCAGATGCAATTGTTTTCAACTCCTTTCAGCACTATGGAACTCCTAGCTATTGGGTGCAACAATTCTTCTCGGAGTCAAGTGGAGCAACACTTCTAAGTACATCACTTCAAGCAACTTCCTCAAATTCACTTGTTGCATCAGCAATTACATTTCAAAGTTCCGTAGATAAGAAAAATTACATACGAATAAAGGTAACACAATTTTGCATCAGTTACACTTATTTCTGTACCTTTTTAAAATTGATAATCAGTTTTATTTCCTTACTTATACTTGATGGTATAAAGTTATTTCACTATTTATTCCACATTTTTTGGAAAGTTGACATTGCTTTGAAATGTCATAGGTTTTAAGAACATGTCAAAGATAAAGGCATATGTTAAACTATTACACCTTTTTGGTGTCTCGTAATAAAATTAAACATAAAAATCTTCATTCGGATTGTATTTCAAACCAATATTAATATAAAGACTCTAAATTTAATCTGAAGATTGAAGTGTAAATATTTAATAGCTTCTCTAATATAAAAGATTGCAAATAGCTTCTCCTCACATTTAGCATAAGTAAATAAATCAATTTCTTGAGACTTTGTTTCTTCTGTTCTTAAAAAATTCTGATGTAAAAAATATGACTACTTTAGATTGAGTTTTCCTCTAAGTGCCTTCTAGTGTTATTAGAAGTACGGCTGCTAAAAATGAAATGGTATTTCGTATTTGAAACCTATCTTTCACTAATTTCCATAAAAAGGACTCAATTTCAGCGAGCAGATTAATAAATATTTTGTGTCGTAAATGCATTCACTAGCACTATCATCACTCTGAAGCAATTGACTTTTGCAGGTTGTGAACTTTGGTACCAACGCCGTGAACCTCAAAATCTCTATTGCCGGACTGGAACCAAACTCATTGCAGTTGTCTGGGTCACAGACTGTGCTTACCTCTGCAAATGTAATGGATGAGAACTCCTTCTCGCAGCCAAATAAGGTACCCTCAAGCTTCACTCTTTTCAAGCTTCTCATTACTATTTGAGCTAATTTGTTCACTCCCATGTTTTAATATGCACTTCTGAATGTTGTTCTGTTCATTATGCTAATGTTCTAACTCCTTGCATGAACCATTATTTAATTTAGGGGTGACAAGGAAATTCATTTATTCATCATTCATTCGATTTATCTACAAATAAATTTATTCAATTTATCTATTATAATAAAAATAAATAATGGATTAGATCCAATTCATCCATTTAATTTTATATATAGTTAATGATCTATCCACTACCTTTTCAAAATCCATTAGATTGCAATATGAAATGATTATTAGATTGAGATTTTAAAAGACTATTTTTACATACAAAAAAGTCTTGTAAACTTTATTAGACTATAAGAATGAATTGACTTATAAAGAAAAGAGAGAAAAAATTTCAAAAATAAAAATTATTTAATTTTTTAAAATATTACTTTTATAGATAGATTGGATATCTATTTATGAAAAAAATATTAATGGATGGATTAGATGAACTTTTTGTTTTAAGTGGACTCAATTTTTATGTGAATTTTTAATAAATCTAAATGAATTAATCGTTTATTTTATCTATGATTTGTCTAAAAAAAATATTCAATTCATCCTTTTGCCACTTTTGCCACCCTTACCTTACTAGGAAACCATTTCCCAATTACTTTAAATACCTTTCCCAATTCAGTGAAGTTTTGTTACTAACAAGAGTCTCCTCTAAAAATATTTTTAGGAGAAAAAAAAAAAAGAAAAAAAAAACCTCTCAATAAGTTAATTTGTAGCAGTTAAGTTTCTCCAAAATCTTAATTTTAATTTATGTAAAGTTAGTCCTAACTTATGAAGTTCATTTCAATTATTTTCTTTATTTTTTCTCCTATAAGTATTGTCCGAGAAATTTATCTAGACATATCCTAAATCAATCAAACATTAGCTTATAAGTTATAAAGATAGAAAGTCGTTATGGCTATTGAGGAACCACGTCAAATTAGGTTATGCTTATGTTATTTTGAATATGGATCCAGGTGGTGCCAAATCAGAGTCTACTGAAGAATGTTGGGAAAGACATGAATGTCACAGTCCCACCACGTTCGTTCACATCATTTGATTTGCTTAAAGAATCCAGTAATCTGAAGATGACAGGGAGCGAATCTTCCTCGAGGTCTTCTATTTAAAGTGATGAAAAGTTAGACCAAAAACAGAAAAAATAAAGGGGAAGGAATGGGATATATGCAGTAGCTGTCACTAACTGTATAAGTTTGACATCTTACCTGGTCTACTTTGTCATGTTATTAAATAATGTTACTTTGTAAATAATATTTATCTGGCTTCATTTAATTTATGAGTAATTTGTCCAACAGGCATGATGATACTGATTTCAAAATTAAGTTAGGCTTGGATTTTTAAAATTCATGCCGTACACCTATGTACCAGGTACACACTTTGAACATTTTTTTTTAAAAGTGGGTAACTATTTTAGACACACAGTATTTTTTGGGTACCTATGAGATTTGTGCTTAAGTCCGAAAAATAAACTTATATATGTCAACAAAATTTTTTAAAAATAAAATCCAAAAATTGGTAAGTCATGTATGATGCAACAATCTCCAAATTTTTATGCGGAAATTTCTCTCACAATCAACATCATCTTTGAGAAATTGGAATATATATATTCTTTTATTCATTTTATGAAGAAAAAAAGCTCAATCTTAAGAGAGCTAAAGATTTAGTCTTTATGTATACAAATTTTTGTCTCCCTTTAAGAAAGAACAAGGGTTACTCATAGGGTGAGAGTAAAATGTGGAATATTGACGGAGATGAATGAGATCTACATGAATGAGTTAATATTCTTGAAATTATTGCTCTTTCTCTTTGATAAATTAGAGTTAGATGTAGTTTTTTTCCATAGGTGATGGACAAGGAGACGCAAAGATTGAAACTATTAAAGTGTGATATAATATAATTGTGATATATTATAATTAAAGTATGTATTTCAAATGTGATATTGTAATCATATTATTATATCTCTCTGGACCTATATATATATATATATGTATATATAACATAAATAATTAATTTTACACATATTACGAAAATTTATTAAATGTATTTAATGTTGTTGCAATCGGAATCCTAATGAGAGAACAAAAATAAATTTAAAATATGAAGTTGTTACCAACGTTTATTTAGGAAAAGCACAGAAAAATCATTTAAAAGAAAATGATCTTTAAAACCAAATTTTTGGGTTCGAGAGTTAATTGCGTGTAAGAAAAATATTAGCACCCTATGGCTATCCTAAGACAATTATCTCTAATTAATTAAGCAAAATTTATAATTTTTTAAAAATATTTATCTCAACCAAGAAATTAAAGAAAATAATTATGACAATGATTTATTATTCATTTAATAAGAATGTTTATTTTATTTTAAAAAACTAAATTTTGTTATTATATTGAAAAAAAAGATTAATTTTATTTATTTTTAGCTTGATAGGAATAGTTTCCTACTCTTACGTATTTCTATGGGTATTAGAAAATCAGAGTTACGTAGTTCTTTTGATAGAAAATATTTGTGGGTAGGGTTTTTAGTTCCATGTTTGTTAGATTTTAGAATTCCTAAACTGTCACAGTTCATATATTCCAAATGGTAAAATTGACAGGTGTAACCAAGTCAATCTACTGATATATTTTATTTGTTATCTTTATTTGATAATTTTATTTACTTTAGAGAAGAGATATAAGATGTCAAATTGTCTCACGTTGTACCTTAAAATCTCATGATATAAAAGATGTCACATTTAATTATTCATTTTCTCTAAATATGTTTATTATAATTTGATTAAATTGTAAAGAATAGTTTTAAATTTCATCAAATATTTATTTTAAAAGACTTAGAACCTCCAAACTGTCATGACTTGTATTCTAAGTATCCAAGGTCAAAGAGATGTCACACCAAATTAATCATATTTTAGATTTTAACTATTAATTATTTTGTCATTAGTCACTAAAAATATTTAAACTATTTTTTCAGTATTTTTATCTTACAATAAATATATCATTAATATCATTATAAGTACAAAAGTAAAATACAAACAACACACTTATTCTAATAAAACTTTCACTTCACCTAGATTTTCTACACATATATGCAATTCAAATAATAATACTTAAAAAAATCACCTTCAAAGATATTAAACCCATCCATATTGCAATGAACATAAATTGCGAGAGCTATATATTATAAAATGTAAACGAGAAGCATACGTATATATTATCGATGGCAAAAAAAATGAAAGTAGATATAAGAGAATATAACAAACACAAATGTTAAACTCGATATGTATGAAAGTCATGCCTTTATTCTTGGAATATGATTAAGAAAAGAAAATATAAGTTTGTGATGTGTTTCATGATTGTGGATACCTATTGTTCGTAGCAAAAGAGCTCACATTGTTTTGATTTGAAGCATACTTGCTTGCTGGTTCAAAATAGGTATTGCTGGTTTGAGGTTGGCCTAAGGTGCAGGGGTTGGTTCATCGATGGTGTTCCAAAGGTTTACTTAAGTGGCATCATGGATAGTATATGTGGTGGTTGAACTTTTTAATTTGTTTTTTTTGTGCACTAAATGGAAAGAATCGGTTTAGGCTGCAACATGCTTTGGTTTTTTAGGAGGTTGTTGTGTGTAAGAGGTTCATAATTTTTAGAGGGTTCAAAACCGTGGCCCCTACTCTTCTCTTCCTCCCTTTATAAGAAGAATTGTGTAGAAAATTAAAGCATGCTGCCAAAGGGTGACAACTAGCTTAGCCTTCAGTCCCAAAACAAACTCTGCACGCATGAAACCAAAGTTGAATTGCCTACACTAATATAACAATTGTAAAAGACATAAAGAAAGTCATCCTGACTGCAATATTCAAAATAGAAGTCCAAAATGTGTTTCCTTTTATTGTTATGTGTACCTTCTCCCATTCTTTCCATTGGAACATATCCTTTCTTCTTTTTTGTTTTCTTTTGTACGTGTTTTATTTTATTTTATTTTTAAAAAAAATGTAAATCTATATTTTTATTTTATTATTTATTTATTTATTTAGTACTAATTAGAACTAGGGATGGCAAATATACCCGTACCCACGGGTAATACCCGAAGCCGTTCCGACTTTGACGGGAAATACCCGGTTTGACCGGGTACGGGTACGGGGACGGGGACGGGGACGGGGACGGGGACGGGGACGGGGACGGGGACGGGGACGGGGACGGGGACGGGGACGGGGACGGGGACGGGGACGGGGACGGGGACGGGGACGGGGACGGGGACGGGGACGGGGACGGGGACGGGGACGGGGACGGGGACGGGGACGGGGACGGGGACGGGGACGGGGACGGGGACGGGGACGGGGACGGGGACGGGGACGGGGACGGGGACGGGGACGGGGACGGGGACGGGGACGGGGACGGGGACGGGGACGGGGACGGGGACGGGGACGGGGACGGGGACGGGGACGGGGACGGGGACGGGGACGGGGACGGGGACGGGGACGGGGACGGGGACGGGGACGGGGACGGGGACGGGGACGGGGACGGGGACGGGGACGGGGACGGGGACGGGGACGGGGACGGGGACGGGGACGGGGACGGGGACGGGGACGGGGACGGGGACGGGGACGGGGACGGGGACGGGGACGGGGACGGGGACGGGGACGGGGACGGGGACGGGGACGGGGACGGGGACGGGGACGGGGACGGGGACGGGGACGGGGACGGGGACGGGGACGGGGACGGGGACGGGGACGGGGACGGGGACGGGGACGGGTATCATAAAACCCGTACCCGCCCCGCCCCGTTGCCATCCCTAATTAGAACGAAATTGAGTTATACCAGTTGCCCCTTTTTACTTATTTTTATTATATATATAAGTTTCCTAACTAGAATAATCGATTATTTTATTTTTAGCAGATAGAAAAATCAACCAATAATAGTTTAAGCGATTATTTTGATTAATAATTGATTATTCTAGAAACTAATTTCTGAAATAATTAATTATTTTACCGAATAATCGATTATTACAACAATTGCTCCTCATGTTACTAAAAAATAAAACAAATAATCAATTATTACTTATATAATCGATTATTTTAAGTGAAAACTTAATATTTCAATTTTTTTATGTCATTTCTCTTTACAAATCAATTTTAAAACTTATTTTCTTCATCAATCATCATCTAGATAAAGGTCTTATGCTAAGTTACTTATCAAGCACTAAGCACACAAGCAACAAGACTCTAAACATATAAACAAGATACAACTTGCACTTTTTTCTTTCAAGACACTACTACAAGATCTATCATCTACATCGGTTCAAATAGGTAATCTACATCGGTTTGAAAACCGATGTAGAATTGGGAGATGTAGAAACACATTTTATTTTACATCGGTTTTAAAACCGATGTAGATTTGTGCAAAATCTACATCGGTTGTCAGAAAAACCGATGTAGATTTTGTACACCAATCTACATCGGTTGTAAATAAAACCGATGTAGATTTGTGCACAAATCTACATCGGTTTTATTTACAACCGATGTAGATTGT